TATTTTACCCGCCAAACTCGCTCTTTACTTTCGTGGGGCGCACGTAAACTGTTTCGTGGTGCACTAAATTATCGTTTCGTCCTCCGTGTACGGATCTGCTTGCGCCGCAGATGACGCCCGCCGCCGCCTCTCGCGCGCTGCACAGAATTAACAAAAAAAAAAGAAAAATGTCGAACGTCGTGTTGCGCGCGCTTCACCCTTGCCCCCTTTCCCCTCCACCATTTTCGATCGTGCCTGACGGATCCCAGATTAAGCGCGCAACGTCACATGCTCTCCGCGAGTTCATTGATTCGTTCCACTCTCCATTTTTTTGTGGGAATACCCTACGGTGGCAACCATCGCTTTTTTCAACGATGCCTGCAGTGCGGCCTCCTCCCGAACGCGCTCGGCACGGCGCACTAGTTTTCGTCTTTATTGCGTTTTCAACTGATTCGGGTCGAAATACGGCCGCCGGGTGGCGATAACTCTTGGCCCGATTTCTGCCACGGGCGGCGCTAGGAGTGCCTTACACGAACAAGAAGAGAAGTGCCGACCCCCCCCCCCCCCCCCCCCCCCCCCCCCCCCCCCCCCCCCCCGCCGTCAACTCCATTCCGTTATGTATGATTTTTTTGCCGAGCGAGAAACGCCCGACATGTAGCAAACGCAAATATTGCAGGAACGAAGGACCGAGCCACAAAATTGTGATTAATTGCACCCTTTTGCATGATTAAAGGTACTCGGGTGTGTCTTTCCGCTCTTTCTTTTTTTTTTTCTTGTTCTTTGTACTCCTCTTTGGTACTCCTGCAATTCTTCAGTTATACCCTGATAGAGCTTCCATGAATATGCTGCTCCTTGAAAAGCAGCCAGGGCAAGCATACTTTTTTTTATTGCAGACATTAATTTGCAGTGGCCATGTTTGTTTTTTAAGCGCACGTGAATTACGTCTCGCTCCTGCGCAGGCCTAGTAAATGTCTTTTTGCCGGATCCCATGAAACGCCATAGGAAACGTTTCTTAAAGTTTGCAAGTTCCATAATTCAATTACTTGCTGAAGTAGTAGTGCGTCTGCACGCTCACGCAAGATTTATAGGGGCTCTGCTCGGTTCACACGCATTCGCTGAGTTTACAATCTGTTCTGACTTTCTTCCTGAAGGTTATGAGTGAGTGTTTTTTTTTTTTTTTGCGAGCTTTCGCTTCTTTACTTATGTGATAGCTTTATTACACCTTCTCTGGTAAATGTTTCAGTCTGTACTGAATTGAGTGAGAAAGAGATATTAAATAAAAAATTAAGTGCATCATCGGGCATTACACAAAATGTTTTCAGGAGAGGTGTAGTTTTAATAAATATGCAGGAGATACCGTGTTTCCAAGATCGAGTCTGTCAAAAACTACACTCTAAGAAATAACTGAGTAAATAGGGTGTCTTTTCGTCCATCAACAATGATCGTCATCTATTTTGCGCTGGAATAACACATTTCGAACCAGTTGGTTGTTCATACCGAGGTGAGAACAGCACATACTGAGGAGGACATACCAAGGAGACACAGCCACATGTGCTAACAACTGATGTTTTTATTGCTCATGTGTAATGAAAATAAATGGCACGTATCGACAAAAAAAGAGGAGAGGCACAGCATAAGAAGCAAGGCTTGATGAAAGAACACTCAAAGCCCAAGAAATCATCGAACCACAAAATATGATGAAACCTGAAAAACAGCTGCGTCTGCACTCCTTCTGTAGCCCTTCTAGATAGCTAGCTTACCTATCGGGTTAGATAATCACTGCCCTTTTTAGTTGTCTGATTTGAGTGCTATTCTGATTTAAGTGTTCTTCTCTCCAGCTTTGCTTCTTTTGTTGTGCATCTCTCCATCTTTTTGTTTTTTGTTGGTGCGTGTTATTTATTTTCATGGCACCCCTAGTGCATGATTATCATTGTGATATAGCATTCTTGATAGCAAAGTGACCAGCGCCGAGTTTTCAAGAAAGAAAGCGCTGGTAAGACCATCATTGGTGTGGGACAAGAAGGCACCCATTTTACTTGGCCATTTATGGGAGTATATGTACCTTGCATGTCTTAAGTGTTGTGGAAACTGTATGATATATTTTGTCAATTACTTCTTTTGCTTCTCACTTGCTGCATGTAAATTTACGTAAATTGGCATCAATACTCGCGAGTATAAAGGTGGCCTAAATGGTTCTCCTCTAATACCCTTTCTGTGAATGAGTTTCAACTTCACTTCGAAAACACCTTGTGTGCTGTGATAGTGTGATTTACAATGTGGTCATTTAGAATGGTGTATTCAAATGTATTGAAATGTGGAATACCATACCAGGTCACATTTGTTCATTACAAAAATATGAATTTCTGAAGGCACCAAAGGGCAGTATGCACTAATCCTTGCTTTTTTGCTTTTTTTGCTTTACAATGTTTGTGATATTATGTTAATGGTATTTTTTGCAATTCCCCAACCTGTCAGTTTCTGTTAATCTCACCTATTCTCGGTTTTCTTTTTATTATTATTATTATTATTATTAACTGCTTTGCGCCCGCTTTTGCGACAGCCTTGCGACCGAGCTGCAGTATGAGGATGGATGGATGAAAAACTTTTATTGGGGTCCTGAAGGATTCCACCCCCGTTTTATAGGGGTAGAATCGCGGGCCGCTCCCACGTTGGGACGGGGAGGCCCAGCCTCACCGCCGCATCGTGTGAGAAAATTTTAAGAAATGAGGAGGAGGAGGAATAAACAATAATTTATTGAGTGTTAAAAAAACAGATAATAAACAGATAATAAATGGATAATAAAACAGTTGGTGTGGTCTAGGCGATGTCTAATTGGTGTCGTTATTTATAAACTGCCAATGACGTATTACAAGGACAGCGAATAGTAGTTCCTTCTATTTGTCGGCCAGACGAGCACTGAGGTCAATTGGAAATATATGTCACAGTTTATATGTCAAAGTTATACACCACACAACATTATATCACAGTCACACTCATACCTCGTTTTAACAGTCACATCTCCAATGAAAATACTTCTATATGAAACTTCATTATAAATACGTATTGTTAACACTTTACTTATGGCTAAACTATTCCTTACTTCATTATAACTAATAATTCAATATACAGTAAATACTCGTTGACCCAGATCTCACGGGACCGGTGAACATATCTGAGTCAACCAAATTCTGGATTATTGAATGTACCATAAAAAAAAAATTAAAAAATGTACTCCGCACAGACAAACCTTTATTTCATGAAAAACTGCCTTAACTTACTCTGCCTCGACATCGGAATCATTGCTAGAGGAGGAGGAGGAGGAACAATCTTCTTCAACCCCATGTGGTGGTGGTGTGCCCGCTCGCTGTCGTGAGAACAGATGCAGAACTCCGCGAGGACAGCGAGGGCTTCAGCGGCCTCCTGCGCGGTGCGATGTCACGTCGGCTCATCTTGAATGTCATCATCGGAAAAGTGATTCTTACCCACTTCAAGTACTTCCAATAATAGGGCTGTTTAGAATTCACAATTGCAAATGTTGCGGGCATTGCTTTAGTTGCGAGTGCCATATAAGCTTTAGAATAGTATTTGCTCCCCCTAGGGGAGCAAATACTATTCGCAAATACTTGCGGTTGGGGGGAAAGTCTTGGGACTTTCCCCCCAACCGCAAGCCCAAATACTCGGAAGCTACACACAGCACTTCGCGGGCTTCGCGAGCCGCGATCACCGCACGTTATTGGGGATTTTCTGCAGGTGAGCCGCGAATCCAAATGGCGGCTCGCGTTACGACGCATGCGCAGTGGCAGCGCTCATGGTGCGCTATCCATCAGTCGGCGAACCAGCAACGGCCACACCATCATCAGCGCGCACAAACACAGCTAGAGAACCTAACAACAGTTCCTATGTTAAAGCGCCAACTTGCCCAACATTCAACCGTTTTGATGTACCCGAGCTGCACATGATATGCACGAAGTGACAACGCAAAGAAATCAGCTGATGTAGCAGTGTCTGCACAAACTGTTCCATTGTCCGCGCATGTGGCACCATGTGTGGCGCATTTCGCAGACACTGGATGCACTGGCAGCCCAAGCCTTTTCACTGGGTGGTGACTAGCACCACCTGGCCACTTCCCTTCTCATTCACTATCATCATGATCATATTGTGCTGCTGTTCGTTCGGTTTTCTCCGTAACTTCGGTTTCGCCGCCGGCTACAGTGGCGGAGATGGGACTCCACGCTTTCAGTAACGGGAATCAGTTACTGAAAGCATGAAGCCTTGATAACCCTCTCTGTAATCGTCCGAGTTAACCGGTGCGCATATAAATCCCTCCGAATTAACGAGCATTTGACACCTTTGAAGAAATATACAGTTTTGCCAGGACCGAGCCGCATGTTCGAGTTAACCGAATTTCCGAGTTAACGAGATCCGAATAAACAAGCTTTTGCTGTATGGAGGTTTGAGTGTATATCTTGGGTATGTCATAGGAGCACATCTGCTTCAAAGTATAGGTGGCAAATCGTGGTTTGTCTGCCACAGTGGATGACTAACTACAATGCTCCTCTGCTGAATTGAAGGTCTCAAGTTTATCCCAGCCATGGTGGTTGCATTTCGGTGGATGGGAAAAGGTAGAGGCCCGTGTACTGTGCGATATCGGTGCACGGTGAACAACACGAAATGGTCAACATTTTAAGAGCCCTCTAGTACAATGTACTTCATATTCGTAGTCATATTGGGGCTAATAATAAGCCCTAGACAATAATATCATTTACTGTTGAAATTATAGTTTACAATAAAGTAAATTATCACTTCATTTTATAAATGTAAATCACTGTGTTCTATGTCACACTCGTTCAGCAAAGTGATCAACAACTATTTGCATATTTATCCATCATCTTTTTGGCATATCGTTGTTGAAAACTGTGCTATTATTCCTCATTGTGTGCATAATATTCATTATATGCATTTCCTTCTTTCGCGTCTTAAAATTTTTAACATTATTTTCACATTTATGTTGTTCTCTGCAGCAAGCCGCCCAGGCAGGTGCGTTTCCAGGCTTTGCCAATCTTCCGCAGCTGAGCAGTGGTAAGTCACATATGGTTTCTTCCCAACTTTTAAAAAATATATCTTTTGTCGTTATATATCACAAGAACACATGTCGCAGAATACAATAGTACTCCTTCGACAATATGAGGGAAAGTTGGGTCGTGTGTCGCACTACGCCAGAAGACAGTAGTAAGGCTATGGAACTAGTACCAGCTGCTTGTCAATCATTGAAGAAGCACAGATAACTAACTATCTGTGATGTGCCATATATTAAATGCAGATGTGCTTTTATTAGCCTAGTGGTGATGGCAGTAAAGTTTTTATTGATTGTTAAAATAGTGAAACGAAGCTCAACCAACTATGTAGAAATGATTTTTTAAGGGGCCACTCACCAGGCCCCATACCGAATTTTAGTTAGACAGTGGAAGTTGTTGGGTGTCCGATGAGGAACATTTTGCCACAAAACTTTTTTGAATTGTTTCATCACAAGCGGAGAAACAAGTTTTTTGAAGTGGCGTGAAACGAGGATGAGAGGAGGGGAGCTCGAAACGCTTACCGCTCCTCCGCGTAGCCTTCACAAGCCAAATCTCTTTCCCACCTTCTCCAGCATCCGACCATGAGGTGACGTGCGCATGACGTGCCCAAACAAGTCCGACCCCCAAGATGGCGGGCAGCATTGCTTTGTTGACTAGCGTTACTTTGTGGTCTTCTGCCTGCTTCTGCGGGATTATTTGGAAACGATACGTGGTAGAATAGATGAGCACAATGAGTATGCGAATACATAGGAGCGTTCCACGGCGGTCGTCTGCTCATAGCGATGACCGCGGGAACATGAGCGCATGTGAAACGCTGGCACATTAGCCCCGCATCTCGTAGCATTTCATGGGAAAAATGAAAGAGAAAGCATCTCATTATTTATTTCAAGTTTTTATTAATCTCCTAAAGCAACAAATATATAAACTAGGCATGTTGTGTTAAATAATTTTTCCCATGTCACATGGTATACTGTTGACAAGGTCGGAGCAGAGTCGTCTTCGTAGAGGACCAATGTCATTGCATTGCCGTGTACGTAGGGCCATTCCTACGCCCACGTCATGCCCTCATTCTCTAGGCGTGCGCCGGCAGAGGGGAGGGGGAGCACCGTTCATCTTGAAATTTTACCCATTTCTGCAGCGCGTAGCGCATTGCGCTTGTCAGCTCAAAATTGTCAAACCTGGTGAGTGGCCCTTTAAAGCTGGGAGAAGATTTCTCAGCTGACATAGTTCTGAGCAGCACATAGATAGTAACTTAAGGTAATTTATGTAATGGTGGTAGCTTCCTTCACTGCAGTCTTGCATAAGCATGGACATGGTAATTTTTATTTCGTTTTTCAAAATATTCCAAAATATTTGCTATGCTGACTTAAATCAGTAAGACTTTATTCATGGCATGTATGTTATCAAATTTATGTTTTAAATAGAGCAAGCTCAATTACAATTAATTCATATAGTTATGTCACACTCTCTTATGTGCTTGTTTAGTAGCTGTTACTGTTTATTAAGCAGCTTTTTTTTTTACACTTCCCGTCATTTGTCAGAATAATCGAATAAACTAAGGTAGAAGCCTCCTCGAAGGCACTCGATCGTTGAATAGTTGCTTTGCAGATATTAAACTACGAGCCTCTCAAAATAGATTTCGCACTAAAAGATTTTTTGTTCATAGCTGGCTATACGGAATTATTGAATAAAAGCTTGTTCTTCATGTACACTGTTAACATATTAGTAATTGAAATAGGATAAAAAACGTAATTAGCAGCACATTGCTGATGGAAACTCTTCGCTGTTACAGAACATCGGAGGTTGAGTAAGTAACACTAAATCAGTTCCTCGCATGCAGTTTCGTCTTTTTGCTTATAATGGGGTATAGTGAATGTTGCTTGTACTTGCTTTTGCATAATTCGTTTGTAGTCCTGATGCTAAGTAGACAGTGCCTTTAAGTGAGTTTTTTCAAACAACTTTTTGCCTCTCTTTAGGATTGCATTACCTTCAACCGTTTTTTTTTTTTTTTTTTTGGGGGGGGGGGGGTGAGAGCAGGGTGGAGTTTTCAAGGCATGAACATGTGAATACACAACCTCTTTCACCTACCTCACAAGCATCCAGTGTAGCCAGGTGCTGCCTAGCTAACAAGCAAATAACAATCAGAGAAAAAGCCTCCCCCCCCTTCCAAAAAACAAAAAAGCTGCACAACTTTTCAAAGAAGCCAGGAAAAGTGGATATTTAATAAATTTTTTATTCTTGTGTAATATTTTTTGTGATAATAAAAAATGTCGCTCAAGTAAAAAGGGGAGTCGAAAACGTCACTTATGTGCGCAATAATGAGCAAAAGCACATGTTTACTTCTTAACATTGTCTTCAAGATAGTCTCTCTTTGGTTGAATGCATGTTTGTCATGGCATGATTAGCGATACCACTTGATTTTGCCCAGCGTATGTTTAACTTCAACACTCAACTACTCATACTCATCGTCAGACGTGCTACTGGTGAGTACGAGGACTACTAAAATAACTACATTTGCTGTGAAAATACCAACAACCACCAAATAACGCACTGAAATTTCATAGCGGAGCTCGAGCTGATCATAGCGGAGCTCGAAGCTTTGCCAGTTGTCGCAAACGGGTGGAACATTTGAAGGCCGCTTTCTTCTCTTGTTATAACACATGAAAAATCACGTGGTAATTCCCTCGGGTTGAATAATAAGTGTAAATTTGTGAGTGTTCATTAAAGCATTTTATTAGAGAAATTAAGAGTCACCAGTGCAATGGACAAGTGTTTACCTATGATGCTGTAAATGTTGAAATTAATATGTATGTTCAATAAACATTGTATTGAAATAAACAATGTATTGAAATGCATGATAGTTTAGACAGTGGGAGAGGGCAATGTGACTGAGTGTTACACAAATAAAAGCTTCAGGTTAGACATTATTCTTCCTGCTTATATTAATTGCATGTTTGAAAAAGCTAATCACTTTTCATAATGGCTGTGGGGTATATATCGTCCATGGTGTTGCTACTTAAAATGTGTCAGTTTTTCTGTCTTGAAGTTGTGGTTCTATCTCACAAAACTATGCAGGTGAGGTGGTGTTTTTTGCTATATGTAGCATTGAATGATGCCATAATTTTATAGGAGTGCAACTAAGAGTGCTTTTAGGGGCGCCACCACAGACACAACTCACTCAAATATTATACTTGCACATTAGCACTTTGAAATATTGTGTTAAATTGCATGAACTAAAATGCATAAACTGGAGGAATGTGCAACGGTCTCGGCAGAGAACAGTGCTTTACGATAGGTGAAGAGACGCTGGAAGTTATGAGGAATATGTCTACTTAGGACAGGTAATAACCGTAGAGCCGAACCATGAGAGCGAAATAATAAGGAATAAACTACACCGTGTTCTAAATAATATGCGGAAGTCGGCTAGTTTTTGTAGAAAGAGTCATGCCCTAACGTGTAACTGTTACGTGTGATTAAGAGTATCTAGTAACATAAATGTGTGAGTAATATCAAAATGAAGCTTGGGGGTGGGGGGAAAGATGGCTGAGAGAAGTGGGCTAATTATCAAATGCATAGGTCACATAACTAATGGTCTTTTAGGGGAACTTAGATGGTGCTAAAGGGAGTGAGATTCAGCCAAGGATGCCACATGACACAGCTTCAGCCACACCTCGTTTTCAAAGGCTCCAGCGAGACCCCGTTTTTAAGAACTTTGCATGACCAGGTAGTTCGACAAGATTGGGTCATTCGCAGCATATTATTCATTGAATCGCTGATTGTAGACTTGCAGTAAAAGCTTGCACTTTGTAGTGAAACTGTAATATGTGGGCAGCGTGGCTTCGGTATTACGTCGCCTCGTTTGTGCTCTCTACATCCCATGCGTTTGTTGTCGTTCCACCCAGGTCTCGGATCCCTGAATGTGCAGCAGCAACTGGCAGCCCTGGCGGCAGCCCAGGCATCGGCCAACAACTCCAGCACAGGTGGGCAGGGGCACAGTGCAATCGATGAATGAATCAGTCAATTATAGCCTTCTCGGTCACACTAGGTCAATTATATCCTAGTTTTTCACATCGGTCATCAGTCAATGATATCCTAGCCAGTCACATGGGTCATCAGTCAATTATAGCCTAGTCAGTCACATCGGTCATCAGTCACTCATAGCCTAGTCAGTCGCATCGGTCATCAGTAAACCATAGCCTAATCAGACACATCGGTCACATGAAAAGTTCTCTCCGTGAGCCACATGGTAGAAAGAGGAGAGCAGAGAAAAAGCAGTTTTAACACGAAAGTGTTTTATGCAAAGGTCTACCAAGACTTTAGTGATGTATTTTCCTCATGAATAGGATGTTGCTAAAATGGATGCTGCCAAATTGGAAAGGAGATCGACCACATGATGTTGCGTCTGTGAAAAACCACAACACATTTGTGAAATCTTAAAAGTTCTCTGAATATTGTATGAAAAAATGTTTCCTTTTTTATTCTTTATTCAAGAATTACCTCACATCACCCTTGGGCATTACAGCAGGAGGGTTTACAACAGAGATACAAATAGATCTTCATTTACGCAACACACTTGTTCTTCAGAGAGCTTGTTCCATTCGGCTACACTCTTCAGTAAAAAAGAATTCGCAGACATGCACGTCCTGGGCCGGTATTCATGGATTTTGTGTTTGTGATCATTACGCATAGAAACATAAAAAGATGTATTTAAATAATTATCTTTGTTTATGCCTACCTTGTTGTTATACATTTGAAAAAACAGTTTTAGCCTTAACTTCCGTTTTCGTGAAGACAATTATCAATTCAATTCTTTTTTCATCATTGTGACACTGTTCATTCTATGGTACCTGCCCAGTACGTACCTGGCTGCTCTGTTTTGGATACCTTCTATTTGAGAAATGAGACTGGCTTCCGATGGATCCCATAGTTGGCAAGCGTACTTTAATATAGGTCTAACACATGTAGTAAATGCACTTCGTTTTAATTCAAATTCGCGACATCTTAGGTTTGGTTGAACAAAGTTTAGGCTCGGTCCGGCCTTACCAAACTCTCAGTGATGTCCTCATTTCATGAGCAGTCATCAGAAAACACGACGCCTAAGTACTTAAGACATTAACGGTGGTAAGAACCTCCTTATTTATAGAATAGTTATTTATTATTGGTTTTTTTCTTCTAGTAAAACACATATGGATATACTTTTTCACGTTTAAACACATGTTCCACTGTTTACACCAATTATATATTCTGTTCAAGTCTCCTTGTAACGCTGTCGCATTTTTGTCGTAACCTGTATGTCTCAATCTTGTATTTTGTATTGTGTAACATAGTGTTCGTTATTATTTGCGCCACTTATGCTGCTGTTGACGATTGTATATCTGTTCCAATGTAACCTCACCGCCACCCCATTTACTGTAATCCGCCCTATGTAATGCCTGGCAAGGGCTTTTAGGGTTAAAAAAAAGCAACCTTCAGCAAAGGTTTGCCACTGGGAATCAAACCTCGGACTTCTCCGGCCACGATGGTATCCCCTCAAAAATAACTGTACATTTTCTATGCTCTTGAGTGCTTCAGCTTTCATTTCAGGCAAAGATGGGCAACAAAATTTTCGGGTCGGTACCACTTCAGTGCAGAACCAACAATTCCAAGTGGATACTCTTCTAACGTGATAGCATTAAAGAGCTCGTTTCGCGTAAATTCCGGCATCGGTGTCGGCATGGGCAACATTGGCTGTAAGCGAAAAATTACCATTTTGTGCGCGACCAAAAAAAAATCAAGACACGAATAAAATAAACATAAAAAAATTATGAGCAAGTGAGGACCGAGTGTAGGCCATTTGCATAGCAGGTGAGTGTTCTATGAGCATGCGCTGCAGCTGTTTTCCGAGCCCTCCGCCCCACCGCTTTGTCATTGTCGCTCATACTCGAAGTACATAGACTGCCGGCGAAAGAGAAAGCGCGCCAAGAGCAAACACATTTTAACGCAAGAGCGAACGCGGTCTCCCATCACACGAGAGCACACATCGGAGTGGAGAGAGCACCGCAGCACCATCTAGTGAGCAATTTGAGCTCTTGGCACATGCTGTGGCACGTGCGAGTGCCACAGCGCCATCTAGTGAGTGCTCCGAGTACTAGCAGTGGCTAGTACAACACGGGACTTGCCTAGGCCTCGGGAAGCTTCGCCCCCAAAGGGTATGCAGTTAGTGGTCAAGTACCTACTAGGAACAGGGCATAACTATTGCGTTCAACTCTCGAAGGCAAACCTTAAGGGTTCCCCATTTTTGCAGTTCATCCTTGAATATGGTAGCTTGTCACTTACGAGGAGCATTATAGAGCGTTTTACGCTGGGTTCGTGTGTGTTGTGACCACAGTGGCGTGTTGTGCAGGGCTGAACTCGCTCGGTCTCCAGGGTCTCACGGGGCAGGGAGTCACCAGTGCTTTGGCTTTGCCCAGCTCTGGTAACAACTCCACCGGTGAGCACCCCCTCCACTTTCCTTCTCGCATAGAGTTTCCTAAAATTTACCAGAAGGAACTCTGGTGCTGCAATTGCTCAGCCACCATGGGAATGATGGTACACATATTTGCCTAGTCTTCATGCTTGCGGCCTTGAAACATACTTCTGGCTTTGTTTATTGGCTGTGTTTGTGTTTCGTTTCAAACAAAAGAACGGTTCGTGCTGAACTTTGTGACCTGATTCAAATTGGCGAGCCTAAAAGGTCAAGGTGGCCAAGTGCAATTGCTAAACATTTGCTGAATGCCTTTTCATGACAAATCAGCTTCTAGAACCGCAAAGCCAAATGAAGCTGAAAGTACAAAGATTAGACAAATTTGTGTACGTGTACTACCTAATATTCCCGTGCTTACTGAAGTGCCGTGCATTGCAGCTCCTATAGACACGAGCGCCAGAGTTCTCTCTAGTGTATCTATAGGAAACTGTATGCCTCCTCTCCATTATGCTTGGCAGCGAAAACTTGCAGCAAAACGAATCTGAGAAAACGATCAGTGTTGTCGCATCTTGAGTACACGGCCTAGTATTTTAGGCTTCCAGTCCATCACGATAAGACGGCATTGAATGTAGCGATTCATGGTATTTATCGTCAACATAATTTCATTGTATTTATCGGCAACAAAATTTGGATTCGGCCCCATTTCAGATCTCTCTTTTAGTGTGTGACAGTGATCATTTCATGAAGGTTGTTGCAGTGGCTGTACTTAGATTATTATCATGCAATCGACATGCTCTGTGGCTTTGAGCTTTCGAAAGAGCAACGTTGCGTATTTCACTTCGACTGAAAATACATAAGGCCTATCGAGGTGTTTGGTCGTATTAGGTTGTGTTCGTGAAAAAGGTGAACAGTGAGAATTCTCTTGACTGTTCTGAACATTGTGAAATTCTGCCGTCTCGTCAACTCCGATTGCATCGAAAGGCCGGGACGGCCTCTCTCTGATTAACTGAAAATGCTGCCACAACAGAATTTGAAAACCTGTAATGGTCTTTGGCAGTTTGCAACAGTAATTACAGTTGGTGATGCTAAATGCAGAGCAGATACTTAAGGGGCCCTGCAACAGTTTTTGGAATAATTGTCTGACGACTTCACTGAAAGAGCCTATTGCCTTTTGATTCGTCTGCCGCAAAAATATTTAGAATCTGCCTAGTACGTGCGAAATCGCAGAGACTTGTTACACTCTTTAAGCACTTTGTCTCTCCTCTTGTACCAGCTAGCTTACTGAAATCTATGCAGATAGTGAGATGACAAAGAGGGCAAGAATATAAATTCTTCCTCAGCTCTATTCATCATCTTGAACACTTTCTCTTTGTGGGCACGTGGTGTCATCTAGTGGCAGCCTCACTAACTACGCAGCTGAAGACTATCAAATAAGCCACTGGCCGTGGACTCTGGGCATATAGTGAAGTAATTTTAGTATGTGGCACCATTTCCAGAAAGGGAGTGACTTTTAGCCAACTATGAGCATTAATAGTATATCTCGGGCCATGTCGTGTGCCATAACGCTTGGCTCGCATGTTAGTGGCAGCCTCAACTGCCCATCGGCAGCATTTTCAAACCATGCTGAAAAAGTATAGCAGGGCACGTTTAAAGCAGAGTGCTTTATAAGCCTTGGGCAGGCGTCGCTACATCTTCTAATTTGTGCGTTTCAATTTTCAGACCTCAGCTGTGCGAACTTACAAAGCCTCGCTGCACTTGCGAACCTAGCCAACAGCCCAGGTGAGCAAAGATCATTTTTATTAGTTGTTCTGTAGACCTGTATTTATTTGTGTGAGTGCTCCTGCCTGCAGTTCATCTACCGCATTGCGCACCTCAAAAAGTGGTCACGCGCTGTTGGGAAAGGGGGATGCGACATTCTTTCGTGGTACTCATTTTCCGGGGTTAGAAGCAAACCTTGGTAATATCGAAGGCAGCATGTTAGAGCTATATGTTCTAAAATTACAGTATTTTCCGGTAGCATCACATTTGCAGCTTATTCAGGTGAAGATCTTGAAGGAATGCATCAAATCATCACTCACTTGCAACATATTTTGAAGAAAGTTGCACTCCTACAACCTGGCAGTAGTTAAACATGTTCTTTCTTTCATTTGTAAACATCTTTTTGTTCCCATCTTTTGTAAATCCTTGTTCTTTCTTTTTTTTCCCCGCGTAATGTGATAGAACTGTGTGGCAGTTGTTCTCAATAGCTTCCATAATGTGTGGACAAGTTGCCGTTTGTGTAGCTCGGCTTGCATTGGCAGACTTAAAAGGCTCAGAGTAGCACGTGAATATCACAGTCTTTTTTTACGGTTTCGCGCTCATTTGCCGTCTATTGAAAGCTGCATTTTGTAAAAAAGTTCTTGCAACTTATGCTTTGGGCTAGGTGGCGAGCTTTGGCGTGTGTGTCTACAGCATCCTTCTTTTTTTAGAGTGAACTTTTGATTTTGTTTTGCTTGCATTCACATGTCACTTGATCTGGGTGTAACACTCTAAAAGCAGTTGCACTCTTTCGGGACCTTTTCTCGCACACTTGAAGACAAAAAAAAGGCATTTTCGGGGCGTCTTTCAACCACTCAACAGTAATCACAACTTATCTCGCATGTCTCTCCAAAGAGTGCAAATGGTTTAGAGTCGATGTGTGCATGAGAAGGTGTCGCTGCATGAGGTGTTTTTTTTTTCTTTTAATTTTTCTGGTTTTGGATATGCCTTCCTGCTGCATGCTGCTTGTTGTGGCTTTTTTTTACACTTCCCTGTGGTGTGCTGTGTGTTTCATTCGCTTACATCAGAAAAGGGCATTAGGTCAAAGGAGTTTAGTATGACGGGGCAACATTATTTACGCTTGCAGCACTTTCACTGTGAACCGGTTTAAAAGCCAGCCATGTACTCCTCTCAGTACTTTGAAAGCATCATTGGTCTCTGACATCTATATTGATATTATATGCCCTTATGTAGAACCACCTCAACATAATTTTGTTTCAGACTAGAATTTCCTTTCCTTGGAGAAAGCTCTAGTCGAATCCCATCTAAACTAAATGAACTTAATTTTTGCCTTTAGTGTCCCTAAAAGTGATGCAGCATTTGGGTTATGATATGAGTTATGGCATGGGTTATGACATCCAGCTGGTTTATCACATGGGTTGTGGCATCCACCTAATACACTCATACCTCGTTATAACAAAGTTGCACCTTACATGAAAGTAAGTTTGTTATATTCGAAAATTTGTTATAAAGTTTTAGTTCTAACGCTATATCTATTGCAAGGCAATTTTTAATTTACTTTGTTATAAGCAATATTTTGTTATATCCAGGTTCGCTATATTGAGGTCCGAGTGTACTGGTTTTCCAAATACCAGAGCAACCGAACGGAACCTAAGATGCAAAAAATATACATATGAGTCAGTGATGTGAGGATGGTAATAGTTGACGACGGGTATATGAGGACGGATAATAGTTGATGTGATGAGTATGACTGCATTCATGAGACCTTGACAGCACAGGCGCAAGCCAGTGAAACACAGGCACACCACTTCTGCAAGGCAGGTCGAATGCCAGAGTACATTAACCAGCGCTGAGATGTAATATTAAGGAAAGGGGCAGTTTACCGCTGTCGCCGTTTCGAGCGGTGATGAAGGCATTTTGTTTCATAAAGAACAAACAGGCGAGGTGATCAGTAACGTAGGCTTAATTGAAATTTGAAACTAATGGCAGTATCTGTTGATCACTTTTTGCCAGCAGCCCTTGCCGCACCTCCAGAATGATCCTTTCTCAGATACGGAAAAAAAAAAGCGACACCAAAGTGGCAAAGCAGCAGAAAGGATATATATGTGCATAGCTCTTCCCAAGCACCTACAATATTTTTTTTTTGCCTTTTCTTACATCCACTCCCACCTCTCCCTCACTCTCTGTTGTGTCCCCACTCCCCCCTTTTTTTTTTCTCCCTTGTTTGTTTCACACATTTTCCCTCCCCATCCCTACTTGGTGTTGTGTTACCACCTGCTTGCCCTCCCCAACTCTCATTCAATCCCTCCCTCTCTCCCTCCCTGGCTATGGCTGCTTCCTCTGTGGGATGCGGTGTTGTGCGCGCTCGCACGCGATGCTGCGGCCATGCCTCCCCGCCCATGTAGTGCATCCAACCGCGCTCCCCGATCAGCCCTTGCCTCCCTCTTGCCTGGTACTGACAGCCGAACGCCACATGTCCGCCCCGGTCACTAACCCAGGTGAGAGTGCCCCACCCCACTGCTTCACCTGCTCCCATCTTCCTCTCCAGTAGCGAGACCCTCACCCTCGCCCTAGGTGACCTGCTCGAGCCACTATGCTCGAGTGAGCAGCCACTCCTTAGCAAGTGGTCGCACTGCTGAAGTTTTTATTTCTTCATTTATTTTATTTATGTATATATTTATGTATTTAGCATACCCCACCGACTCTCGTTGGAGCATTAGGTAAGAGCAGTGTAGAAAAAGCAAAGTGTACAATTGTAAAGATTTGATGTAGTATAGAAACAATTATATTTCTAACAATAGTAAAATTCTGTAATTTCAAAGATGAATTTGCTCATTAAATATACATTGATTATGGAAATTACTAGCAAATGAAGCTAGGTGTAATGAGTGTTTAGTTCAAGGAACACATTGTTGTTAGCTACAGCAGTAATGCCGTTCAATATCATGGTAAGACTGACTGTAATAAAACAAATGTTTAGAATGAAAAGTCCTCAGGTCAGGATTAGTTGTAGTCTAAAAAAAAATGGACGTTTTAAGAAGTGTGAAGGGCTGCTGTCTGCGGTATAACGAAAGCAGAAATGTAGATCGGTGCCTCAGTTTTACAACGATGCTTTTTCTGACGGCAGCACATTTGACGACATTCACGTTTTTGCCTGTGGTCAGATTGACGAACCACAAACATTGTCAGTGGCATCTGCTGGCCATGAATGATAGACGATATAAGAATTAAGCCAAGCAGAATTTATTGCTGGGAAATAGCAGCCCACATTGTTGCTGGTTCCTTGGGACATGCAGCTCATTTCTGCTCGTGCATCTTCGTCGGGTTTGCTCCTGTCTTTTACTGTTGAAAGATTGAATTAGTATACCGTCCAGCATTGATAAAACGAATAATAATTATTAGCAAAGTTACTGAAAAAATTGCCTTGCTGTTAACATAGTTTAACTAATGCAGTGGTGGAAGTGTTGCCCCAATATCTCCAAACTGCTGTAAAAGAGAAGCGATACTTCATGCTGTTCGAAACCTGTTCCGAAATGACACAGAGAATAAAAAGGATGAACTTTCACTCTTAAATCAACTCATAAGTACTAAAGAAAGTGAAAACAATCTGAGTACTATCACCTCAGTGTTCGCAGAGTGGATAGACTGTAAGGTTCCTTTTTCTTGTAGTATTGTGTATGCGTGCATACTCGGGCCACGCTTTTTGACCACGAGATTGCTTTACACTTTGACCTTTGGCTCAGTGAGTACAGCTGTCCGTTCTTCCTTTTCTCTCTCTGTTTTCGCTCCCCAATGCAGGCATCAACCCCATGGTAGTGCAGAACCTTGCAGCACTAGCGGCAGCCGGAAGCGGAAACAGCTCTGCCGGGATTCCGGGGCTCTCGGCGGCGGGTGAGCTGCTCCCCATTCCTGACCTTTTTTGCCTTTGTGGCAGGTGCTTCACAAAGATGTACCGTATTTACTTGCATAATCCTCACACTTTTTTTCGGTGGAAATTCGATGCGAAGTGGGGGGTGCGAGAATTGCACGGGGAAAACTTTCCACGAAAACGTATAAAGCGAAACAAACAAAAAAACGCAAGTGGCCGTAAATCGAGATTTTCACACAAGCAACTAACAGCAAGCTTTGAAAAATACTAATTAAAACCTACCTCAACAATAAAAGCACTGGTTCAACACAAAGGAAAATTTATTTGAGACACAAAAAGTGCAAGCAAATAGCCCAATTATTGTGTATACCACCTGCCTACAATGTGGTTTTATTTTTTCGAATAAATCGCCGCAGACCTCGGCCACGAACGGCAACTGCTTTCGCGTCTTTGGGCGCAAGCGCTGCGCCGTGTTTACCGATTTTAAAATATCTTTTGTTTGTTTCCTTCAAGAAAACTTTGTAACCACAATACATACGGTAGCTCCGTAGCTGCGGACTGCTGCGGGCCTATCAATAATGCAACGAAAAAAAAAACTGAAGAGAAGCAGGCACGCGTCTTTCCGAGTAGGCTTTTAATGAATCTGATGAGTACTCTGGAATGCGCTGAGCACCCAGATACCCCAGTAATATTCTCTTTTCGATGAAGTGGTACAGTAACATTTAAAAGCGCTGCATAAAGGGAAAGGATCAAAACACGAAATGATGTATGTTGCACTGTGTGTCTTTCCGCGAACCCGCTTTTCAATCCTTGCAAAAAAGGAAGCGCAAACTTTTATCACATGCTACAAAAATAAATTTCAATATTATGAAGGGAGACGCAAGAGCGTGGTGCAGCGTACCAAAAGTTATTGATTGCGCTTTAATGTGTAGCACACCGACGAAACAGAATATTGCCACGCAACAAAGACAAACGTAAAATTCTACTGAATGAAGTTTATTAAAGCGAACTCATGCTCTGCGAAAGACTAGAAGGAAATGCAAACGTCAAAGAAGCAGTCCGCAGCGTGGCCTGCACAGAAGACATCGATAAAGTGAGTCACGCGGCATTTGCTATGCATGAATTGCTCTCGGGACGTCATTAATTTTCGATCCATAAAAATAGGGTCGAGAATATTCTCGAGCAAACAAGAAATTAAGTTAGTGACAAGGTGACAATCTTTCCATATCAACAATATTGCCCGACGCGACGTACAAAAAAAAGAGCAAACGGGCGCTTCAGTTGAAACACCAGATAAAAAACCGGAAGCAGCCACGCATGGTTACAAAACAAAAAACGAATCCTGAGCAATAGTTCGCGGACATATTAAAAGTGAAAGCACAAAGACACCAGAAAGGTTTTTTGCATGCGAGCCTGATCACAAGCTTATGAAGTTTGCAAACAAGTAAGGAAACACAGCTACTATTTTGCTGATCAAACAAAAATCCGCCTATAAGTGAGCTATACAATTATAGGTCCAGGAGGCTTGCAAAGGGCTGCTTTGCTTTTACACTACTCCTTCAGTTTGGCTTTCTCCCTCCACCAGCTGGGCATGTTGCTCGCTTTGTCACACGTGACTGCTTATTTTTTTTGCGTGTGAAAAAATGCAGGCGGCACCGAAGAAAAAGGTGTAGAACTTCAGTAGTCGTCCTAGCAAAGTGGGTGGGGCAGCCGACAGCCGCTGAAGCTGTACGATTGTCCAGCAAAACCTGCTCAACAATGCCCATGTACACACCAGCACCCGCAGTTTGCTTCACCGTAAATTCTTCTGCATGCTTTTCAGCAATTTGGAGGAGGTTTAGCAGTTTGGTGGAGGGGACCTGAAGGTAACCTCTCGACTTCACAAGAATGAGGTCACTTGGTGATCGTTGCAAGCCTTTTAGAGACTCCACGCAGTCGTTGCAGCACATCTCAGAAAATTTTTGGGCAACATAGCCGGCAAGGTAGTCTAAAATGCACTCCTTTGGAGACAAGTCCGCGAGGGCCTCTTCCTCACTCTCAGTCGGCTCCAAAAGAACGTCATCCAGGAGAATGGCCAGGGAGTCAACCTGAAACGAGAATTTTCTTTGTTTACATGCATGTTCGTGGAAAAATATTATGCACAAGTAAATGATGAACTCTGTGCATATTCTGAGTGAACGTCTGTTTAGCAGCTCTTCACCGGAAAATATATTCCAGATGGAGAAACTATCAATAGCTCTTTTGTTTTCAATATGACATTTTACATGATTGACAGGAGCAGCTTCCTTGTTGAAGAGGTCCTGCAGCTTGAACAGCAACTACGGCCCGTCACCATCAACTGATGCCCGCTTGGGTGGGCGGACAAGGTTGTTGACCGAATGCATTCGGTATATGAACACGAACTGTTGAATCGTTGGTTGCCCTCCATCACCAGCAACGTGTCTCGCAATGCCAAAAAACCTCTGAAAGTGAGACAACAGATTAGTCAATGCAGAAATAAAAAAGCTTACATGTTTACCTCAAGAGAATCCTGTCCGAAATTTCCAACCAGCACATATCGAAAACCTGAGGCCAGAAGGTTCTCCACAAGTGCGATAGTACTGAGTAGGGTTACTCGCAGCGCTTCAGATGTGGGCTTGGTGAGGAAGCAGGCTTGCCTTTGCTTCGGCAAACTCTCAATGTAATCACAACAGTTGTTCAGCCATGTCACGTTCTCTTTTAATGTCTGAAAAATATTCATGTTACATCTGTAACAATAAATAAAAGCAGGATACCCATAATAACATATAAAGTCTCGAGTGGTATTTCTCACTGCAATGTGCTCCGCTTCGTTATACTGCACGTGCTCTGGCCTCCGAGAATTCAAGCAGTCAAACAGGCTGTTCATTCGTCTGCTGAATGCCGCGGTCGCCTTTGAATCATGCAGCTCCTTGCACACATCTTGCCTGCTGTAAAACTCCAGTGCAGCAGCTGTAGATTCACTGTACAACTGAAGATAAAAAATCAGTAAGGTGTGGCTGAAGGAGTAGTTTCCCAAACATGCTACCTGCTGCACAAGAAAAAGTCATAATATTACTTGCCTGAACAGCAAGTCTCACACTCGTTTTCTGGAAGGCATTGGGCATTATGTGGGCTTTTGTCAGTTTAGGCACAGCTCGGAGTCCAGCTTGGTCTTCCTCATACCCCAAAAGGGACTTGAAATGATCGTGGTAAACGTCACCCTCTGGCAGCTTGAAACAAAATTTCAATTATTGTTGTAAACAACTTGTACAGCAAAGTATAGCGTAACCACGCCTCGTTTTTCTTACCAGAAACTTCCCAACCTTTTGAAGGTTGTTTCTTATGCACTTGAAAATGTGCGGTGGGTCGATGACAGTGTAAATCTCTCTTGACAGGTCACAGGGGTGTTGAAATGATGTTTGTGGGTTTTTTCTGTCCCCATGTATGCCTGGAAAGAAGAAATTTCAGCTGTATAACCATATATTACAGCAGTACTCTAGGATTGTTACAGGAAAAAGTTGTTACCCAACGACCTCAAAGCTGACCGGTTACTTGTAGAATTGTCGCATGTCACAGCCTGGACAACAGCGCCAGAATTTTCCAAGTGCACAATGCACTGCAGCAGCAAGTTGGCCACAACAGAACCAGGAGCAGCGCTGGAAGCGCAGAATGTTCCCACAGTTTGCGACCAGCCCCCAAGAAAGGGCCGAAACAGGAACACCAACACTTGATCAGCGTCTTTCTCGTTATCCCCTGGCCTGGTGTGTTCAGCAAAGTTGACTTTTCCAAGCAGGGCCATATCATATTCTCTGACATGCAGGCTTTTGCGAACACTCATCTCATCAAACATGAGTACTCCTGCAAAATAGAAATGGCCAAATGGCTTAGGAACAATGTCAAATGTCACAGGCACTGCTTTTGATTTTAAATATAGATATTTCTCCAAACCTCGTCGTAAATATAGATATTTCTCCAAACCTCGTTGTTCTCTCTCTGGGACCGCTGCTAAAGAGAAAAGTAGGGAACCGTTCTCACATTTCGAAACATGCTACATAGTGGGCCTTCAGGATAAAAAACATTCGTGCAGTGCATTTGGAATTACATGCATGTACATGACACAGACAAGATGCTTTATATGCATGCATAATGTGTGTGCACCAGACACCAAAAATAGGAGAGGGGGCTCATCATACTGAAACACATGCATTAAATAGTAAAGTTGTTTTATAATGGATTTCACATGCATTTTTACAGTAGCGAAACTGCTAAAAGGATACAAGCACATTATACCAGATTCATGCGTAGGTGCTTCAAAAATACCCCATTCCATGACATGCTGTATGCCGCTTTCGAGCTGCATGTGCTGAAAGCCCAATGAACAGTAGGTACAGAGGAACCATGTTCAAGATAAATAGATGCGATCAGGCGTTTCTCTGGCATATCGTATGTTATGCAACCATAGCATTTGACACGTTGCAAACATATGCAGCGCATTCTCCAACCTTGTAGTATGGGCAATACGAAAATGTATAAAACTTCATCCACTGCAAAGTGAGACTGTGTGTACATTAAGGATAAAAGGAATGCTGTGAAAAGCAAACACAACTTTTATTTGAAACTGCTGGAGTAATAAAAAATAGGGGGTGCTGAAACAAAATCGATGTGGTGACACGCATATGGCCTGTTGAATCAATATTCTCAACATGCCCGAGGAATGTTAACATTAAAGTGTATTTTCAGCGAAGAAGCATGATGGAGTAATCTAAAGAAGCAAATTTGACACCGAAATACACCAACACTGCTCCCAAACACCCTACACGCGCTGGCCTGTTTTCTAAACTTACCTGGCAGCTTTCGCAGACTTGGCATTCGCCTTCATCACGCACTGATCAAAAACCAACTTTGTGTGGGTTGACATTTTTTGAAGGCTTTCTTCAAGTTTTTTGTGCTTGCTCGCTTGCACTCTTATCTTGGCCAATTTCGTCTGACACAAGGTCAGCTGTTGTTTTGTTGCCCGAAGTTG